AGAACCGTCCATTCAGAATGAAATCGAAAGGATGATCCAAGAGAGAGAGAGAGAGAGAGAGGGGGAGAGAGAAAGAAAGAGAAAGAAATGAGCAGCATATGCGCTCAGCAACACGCAAATATCCCGTATGCTATGATCGACATATGTTCTCATTCTTTCTCGCCGCGCTCGGCCGTGTTCGTTAATGAATATGCTAATATTACGTAGCCGTTGCTGGCATCTGTCGCTCTCAATTTAATTGAAACCGCTTTCATTGAGCGTCGCCGATTTTCGTAAAATGTTGACGAACGAGCGGTGACGAGACGCGCGCCTCTCGTATAGGTATTCCTTCGCATGTGACGTGTGACATTTATTACGCTTTGTTTATTGTATCGATTCGATGTTAATTACGCTATTTCCTCGATACTTTTATTAATTTTATTAATTTAATTAATTTTGTCAATCATATTATTAATCGTATAATCGTATAACTGTTCTTGTATCCCGAGTTTCGCGTTACCTAAGTAAATTCTTTTTTCTTACCTTGATAAAATCAATAAGATTCAACAGGGCCAAGAAATTCTTCATCACGGGATTATCACGGTACGATGGCGGATCGGTCGGTTCGAGAGAATGGATTCGCGTTCTTTCGACGGTCTCGTCTCGGGTGCGAGTTAGGTCCAGTTACAAGCTGATCGTTTCCAAGTAACGATCCCGTATACACGGGGATCGCCGGACGTTTCGGGCCACGAATGCGTGGACAAACGACGACGAGATGGGGGCCGAGAGAGGAAGGCCTCTTGCCATCAACAAAATCTGCTCGCCCCGCGGCGAGACGCGCGGCTTACACCGCCCGAGTCATTATCTCCCGTAATGGCCGCTCTTAATTTCATTTCGGCCCCCATCCGCGAGGGTAACGGTACGCGTCTTCTCGGACACACTTGAATGACCGATGTCAATCGGGATCAATTAGATACTTTATCAATGCACGAACTAAATCATATTGGAATGATATCGAATGTCTCTCTCGACGCGGATTAGATGATAAGATCGCTTTTAATTTTTCAAGTTGGGCCACGTGTGTACGGAATAAACGGAGAAAGATGATATTGTGCGATCGCGATCTGATAGGATAATTTTAATTTGCATATCTAGTTTTCAATAATTATTATAATATTTTTCGCTCTGTTTCCTTATTTGATAAAACTTTGGATACGTTTGCTGCGTGCATATTTTTGTAAATTTGACAATCCAAGCGCCTTAGATAAAGGTTACCCAATGCATGTACAGAGATCTGTCGACTGGATAATCTTTAGATGAGGGGACCAGACTAAATAAAAGAGTTGACCGTAAGCAGCGGTATTACTAAGCCGTAGTGTATTACGGGCGACCGTTTTACTCGAGCGGCTAGTGAGTAATAGACTGGTTCCGAGGTGCCGTATCTTTCATCTGGTCTGGTCTTATCTTTAATAATCGAGCTAACGTCATAACGTCGTAATGGTATCCCCTGACAGAGCAAATGAAGCAAGCACTCGAGATTCTGGCGATTCGATTTCATTATTCATTTTCATTTTACTATCGTATTCGTAAATGTAATATATGAATCTCACGGAAATCAGAAATAATTCTTATTTTTGATTATTTTAAAAGTACATTCAGAAATAAAATAATTAAAACGCAGCGCGATTTCGTGATTTCGCGAAAAAAAACGGTGGTGATATGAAGGAAAAAAATATGCGGTTATCTCTCTCTTTCTCTCTCATCCTCGCCTTTACTCTCTAAACATCGTATAACAATTCCATTTTTTTATTACGAATCTTTTTCTTTCTTTTTTCTCTCGTGTGTTCTCGTCGCCGCAATTTTTTCGCAATTCTTTTCGTAGGCTGCCATAAATTTGCGCCGATTAATGCTGATGAATGTGAAACGTTTGCATGTTAAATCACGAATGGTAGGTTGCATTCTGCAAATTTTTTTGAGCAATTTTGCATCGGGGAAGTAGAAAGAAATAAGCGCAAAATATAATCAATTTTGACATATTAATGTCTTATCGGAAAACAAGCGTTATAAATTATATGTTGAACGAGAAAATTATTTAAAAATAAATAACACGTTTTAACTTTTATAAAAGACTTTCAATCATGTTCAAATTCAATTATTCGACGCGAGTTGTGTAAAATCATTGTTACACGCGATGTTTTAGAAACAATTAATGCATTTCCTTTTCAAATGCTCTTAACGTTATCTCTAGTGAAAGCTTGTAATGAGTATCGTAATGATTGCGGAAAAAATAGCTTTATGTAACGTTTAATGTGTTCGAATTCTACTGCTGAATTAGAAAAGATTTGCGAATTTGATTTGCTTATTCAAGCGCATTTATGTTCGCTTACATATGAGACGAAATGCATGTCGCTATCGTATATAATTCCGTAACATTTCTCATTTATCGATAGAAGGCTTTCAAAATTCCATCAACGTTATCGCGAGATCCCATTTTAGTGTAAGTAACGATGAGCGAGCGACTTTTAATATGAAACATCTCCTGTAAAGATCTCTCGAAAATATGTCCGAGCTTGACGAAAAATTCAAAATTCCAATTCCTTTGAGAATTCCAAAGTGAAACATGTATCCGGTTACGTAAAACTTCCGTTTGAAGATAATCGAAATACTCGTAAGTCAAACGCGATAACGCACACACACATACATCGGAAATTCCAAGCGAGTTTGCACTCGCGAAACACCCCGTATTATCTCACGATATGAAAGGAAGAGCGAACAATAAAATAGCTCACGTAGGTACTTAATTATCATGGCCGTTGAACGTCATGGCGTTAAAGCAATTTAATAGCGCCGTAATTAAATCAACAATTAAAATTAAACCGTGTCCCGGTCCCTTGTTCTTAATCCGAGAATACCTCCCGAAGGGGCTTACACTGTCACGTGAGTAAAAGACTCGTTACGCAACACTGATGCATATCGGGTCGATGACCTCATTGTCTCCGTATGCACCTGTATACTAACTAAGAACGCAACCAGTAATTAACCGAACAAGAATTTACCATGATTATCGTCTACTATGATCATAATTCCGCAGCGACATTCCTCGCGAGTTATTATTATCAGAATGACTACGTTGCGAGAAAGCGCTTTTCAAGAAGCACGAATTAAGTATTTAATGCGTAATGCAGTGCGTGGTAACTTTTGCGCTTTATTTAGTCGAATTGCGCGCATAAAGACATGTGATATTTCAAGAAAACGCATACCATTCTTGGGAAGAAAGCTAAGAGAATGTGAAAGAATAATTATGTTTTAAGAAGGAGTTAATACGAGCTTGTTACTCTCTAAACAGAAGTCGTGAAATATTTCTTACGTATAATAAAATAATTGTAATTGTATTGTTCTATATAAATTTTTATTTCTTTTTATCTAAAATAGAAATTTCCAATAAACATTTGCATCTAACAAAAACAATTAAATAGAAGCTGTTTTATAGATCGACAATACTTTATCTCTCTGTTCCATCAAATCGAAGTACGAAAGATTTTTATTTACTCTCACGATTTTTTATCGCTCCTTATATAAATGGCACTCCTGTGCGAGGAAAAATCGATTGATTTTATCGAGACATTTGCGCGATATCCGCCCATAAAAGGTGGCAGTTCTCGTTTGATCTACTAATATTTGAAAATGCGATTGATAAGCCGCGATTACTCACGAGATATTATTTATTACTGTTCGAAGCATCTCTTTAAACCAATGTGTGTTATTAAACATTCTATAGTCAGATATTTAGATATACATTTATTGATACGAAAAAATACTTCAAAAATAATATAATTAATTAATATATAAATATCTCTTGTTTATTCACATTTCATGCAAGTAAATATTGTCTCAAGATAAAAAAAAATTTAAAGAAAACGATTATTTAAAAGTGAATAGTACAGTGTCATTCTTCGAGCAATTGCGATTAAGATGCTATTCTCGATATACTTTAGCGGAGCGAAATAAAGACTCTCGGAATTTTTCCAAGGAATCCTCTCGCGATACATAATCAACGGCGCGGTTGCCTACCTTGAACCGTGATGCAAATCATCCAGTTACTGATGATTATTATCCCTTCAAGAATCGCCTGTGCTAATGTGCTCCGTGGTTACGTGTTTCGCCGCCGGATCGTCTGAGATTCGCTCGCGTCGTAATGGCCGATTCCGCAAATGGATTACCGTGTACAGGCTGCACTAGAATAAGAACGTTAACGATCTCGCAACGGTGCGTTTTGCGCGACGTCTCTCGCGATGACATGTAAAAACGATGGACGATTACGAGGTATAATGACTCGAAATTACGGGGCGCTTGTTTGTTCTGTGGAACGACACTTGTCACGGGCCGAGATCCGAATTCAAGATCCGAAAATCTGTGCGACGCTACTTTAAGGAAGAAAGGAAGGAAGAGATCTTTTTAGCCGCGCATTTTTTGTACTTTCTCGGAATGCATTGTTTTGTCTGTCTTCTCTTTACGTCTGAGTATATACTCATTCCTGAGCGTAGAAAGTGTAACATAGTGCGTTTAAACAGAACGTACAATGCTGAGTCTTTCTCTCTCTCTCTCTCTCTTGAGAATTTCTTTTATCACGCATATCGGCAATGCATTTCAACGCAATGGCGCGATTTCTTCTGTAGTAGAATTTCTCACAAATTTTTTGGGCGAAAATTTATTTACGTCGCATGTGTTACGAGCCTTTGAAGTTGCGCTTATATATCTTCACGTGAAAATCGAGATAACAATTTTCAAGATTTCGCATATTATTAGAAAAACATTCGACTTTAAAATCAATTTTCCGTTATTGAAATAACTCAACGATTTATAAAATAATTCTCCATTCTCTGTTCATTCTAATCCGTAATCTTTAATTTTTGTAATTTTACAATGATTTTATATTTTGGAATAACTATATATATACACAATATATTTGCAAAAAAAAGTATTGCTCGTGTGATACATTTTATACACATAGTCACCATAATACACATTTGCGATAATTTTTATTGATTACAAAATTATCCTTTCTCAGAAAAATTTGCAATTTTAACTAAAATTGATTGTTTTAAACCGATGTTAAAATTGATCTATTGTTTTCCGATGAATATTGCTATAGCCATTAATAAGAAATTTATAGATGCATCGGCAGAAATAATTTTTAATTATTTTAAAATATTATTTTGAAATAATTATTTATGAAAATATTATTTAAAAAATTATGTATAAAAAAATATGCAATTATGTAATGATATATCATTGATACGTAGTAATTCTCGCGAAATGTCAATATTGAATGACGCAATATGTAATTGCGAGTGGTAATCCCGATGGAAAGCTCGAGTTATCGGTTCGATTACCGAATCGAGATTAGCGTTACGATGACGAGGAGATAAAGGAGAGATTCAGGTATATCCCCGTTACACAGGGCTGGCCTCTCATCTCCCCCTCTGCGAGAGGAGCTGGAACATGTCGGTGCACGTTCTCTCTGTGCTTTGCACGAACGGACTCGCGCCGCGATTCTGCTATTGTTATCGTGCCAGATTCAGTCCGGTTATGACCACCGGAGGAGCAACTGCTAGATTAATCGGTCGCGCATCATCACGCGATGTCAAAAAAGATAATCCGTGGCATTATGGACGCGATGACGTGCTTGACGCCGTCGCCGAAGAAGCGGAAGAGAGAAGAGAATGATAGCGGGGACGAGAAAATGAATCTGCCGCGAAATGACATGTTGATTGCAGATGCTGAGAAGAAACTTGATTCTGCGGAAAAGGTACGATTAGATATGCCTGAGTCTTTTTTTTTAACACCATATACATTTTATTTTTTATATTAAAAAAAATTTCAATCATATTTCATCATCCCCCCTATAATATTACTCCTACTATTATGGTCATTTTTTTACGGATAAATATCGAAAAAAAAAAAAAAAACGTTAGGCTCCCGAGACGTCTTATCAAATTATTTGACATTTCCTTTAAAAAAAAAATCGACTCCGAAATTCATTAGAAATTAATTTTGTCATTAAAATTAAACGTTGCAATCTTTAAAGTACGTTGAATTACCTGTTGACAAGACCACCCTGAGAATGATCGCGGGAGATCATATAACGATAGCCTATCAGGTACGATACACTATGCACTCAAGGGTTAAGGTCTGTCGCGCGACGCGACGCGATGCATGAGTCTCGTGGATGACTCACTGCCAGCGGAGAGAAAGAGAGAATCCACACGCATACATACACGCGTATACGTATACCCACACATTCTCGTTTCTCTCCCGACGATCCGGAACCGAGACGACGCCGCCGACGGTTCTCGCATTTCTGCCCGATTGTCCTGAATCGAGTGGGTACATTCCTGAAACCTTACCGAACCGTGCTCGGAATGTGGCATCTATCGTATACAAAATATGCGCAGCCATTCGACATTCGACTTGCAAATGAAATTTTCATAACAGCGTGTTTTTTTTTATTTTTATTTTTTTTTAGCAGTTACTCATCCGTAATGCAAATTGCGCGTAAACCGCGAAATCGAGTGAATAACGCGCGCGATTGCTATTGATAATCCTGTACGTACACTCGCAAACTTCGCCGATCGCGATTACAGTAACCGCAAATTTTGATTTATGCGATACGTGCATTTTTCGCCCGTACATTCATTTAAAAAAAAAAAAAAAAAAAAAAAAAAAAAAAAAAAAAAAAAAAAAAAAAAAAAAAAAAAAAAAAAGCGAAGGATTAATATTCTAGAATTTGAGATTAATATTTTAGAATTTGCGGATCAAATTAACGTTGGAAATAAAATTTTGCTAATCAGAAATTGATCTTAATTTCGAGACATCTGTAGCAAACTTTAATGCACCGCGTATACCGTAATATCTCGTTCGGTCCGTAGCGGTTTCCAAGAGATATCCTATTACGGGACCGTGAAATATTCGTCGTGTGTCGGCAATAAAGTATCGCGATATATCAAGCAGAGATAATAAACGGCCTCCAAATGTTGGAGTCAGCTACTGCTGGTACGGTTTAATTCAATTCTAAATACACCATTTCGCAAATATGATCGCGACAAGAATTTTAATATCTTTCTTCATTACAAAAAATTTATTATTATAAATTAGTATTCATATAAAAGCACTCTTGGGTGTGAGAAAATGGTTAGCGTTTTATCTATCGAAAAAGGTATCGTAAAATATATCGATCAATTAAAAATTATCAATTTTATCATTGAAAAGAGATGATATTCAATTCATTCATTATTTTATTTAATCTAGATTTGAGACAATGGTCAGAGCTTTATCTATTTAAAAAAATCATGGTAAAATACATCAATCAATTTTATCATTGAAAAGAAATGATATTCAATTAATTCATTATTTTATTTAATCTGAATTTAGATTAGATGTATTAAATTAGATTAAATATATATTTTCTCGCAAATTGTGTTTACTTCTCTCTTAAACTCTTCTATTTATTAAACTATATACGTAGTTGTGTTAAGCGTTTTATCCCATCAGTGATGGTCTCAAAGAACGATCGACGCGTAAGAAACACTCGTCGACAGAATCTCCGGACCTCCGTCGCGAACGTTAACAAGAAAATTTCGCATGTGTCCGCGAGCGGAGCAGAAAAAGGGTTGAGAGGCCGATGCCTCCGCATGATGTAACCGCGTGGCGGTGCGGAGTGACTGCCCTTGGTGCTTCTTCTTCTTCCTTTTTTTTCCGCAAAGGATGATGATCTCGATTACATTTGGCCTCGTGAACCTCCTTCCCCTCTGGTCCCTTTGCTATACCCTCCGTCTTTGCCTTCCGTATTCTCTTATTGCTCACCGTCGTTGAAACGGAGTCTGTGATTGATGGTCTTGCGCTTGCTGTATACGTACAGTCGCTCGATACGTCGATATACCGTTAACTTATCGTCTGCATTGTGTCGAGTTAAAACGGTGCGAACGCTTCGTGATCTGTTGCTTCAACAAGAGTGTGAGTAGTTGCGCCAAGTTGCTTCTTTCTAAGATAGTGGTTCTCAAGTCTTTTCTCGCTCTGAGCGCAATAATATTTGCTGCTGACGCAATCCTTCTTCGTGAGAGCCTGCGTCATGACGTATTGCTTCAAATTAAGATAGCAAATATATATTTCTATTTTTAAGAGAGAAAGAAAGAGAGAGAGAATACATATTTATATATCTTATAGAACAGTTTCTAGAAGCGATGGGATTCAAATTGACTGAGATATACAGGTGTGATTTTTCTTTTTTCTTACATTTATTTTTTAAAAAAAGATAGAGAATTAATCTATAAAAATGGCCTAAATAAAAATTAGATGGTATCTCTAAGATCATATTTTTTATACAGTCATTGCATAAGAATAAAATAATGATAGTAATATAAGAAATTAATTTTATCATTTCTTAACGAGGGTTTTGTTTAGACTGCATACACGTTCCAGGCTACAACACTAAAAAAAAAAAAAAGGAAGAGAGAGACAGAAGACGTCTCGCGAGATCCTTCGACAAACCATAAAACACCTTGGCATGACCGAGTGTTTTTTGTGTTCCGATGTAGGATCCGTCACATTGACTGCTGAAGAGAAAAAAAAAAAGAGAACCCACGGCTTAGCTTCGCCCATTACGGGATGTAATGCTGCCTACGACCAATAAGATGAGCGTCGCGGTGGGAAGCGACCGGTCGCGCGTCGAGTTCGTCGATCCCTTTTTCCTTCGTGTAACTCGGGACGATTAGAGACGCTTCATGGAAGCCAAGTGGATGCGAGGATACATCGCGCGCGCTACATCTGTCCCTCTATATTAATTGACGCCTCTAATCCGCCGTGAATCTCGTTAACTCGCGAACGAGCGCGTTCAACGTTTACCCTTTTATCCCGAGCAAACACCATATACCATATCATCCCGGCGCCTACGGATACACTTTGGTTTACGTTATCAAGTATTCTTATGGCACAATGCACGCGCCGAGTGCACGGGAACGATTAACATCACGCAACATGTGTATGATAACGCTTTGAGAAAATTAGACGCAAACGAATTACTCGGTTAATTATGCGCTTTGTACTTGCACGTGATTAACGGCGATTAATTCGTAATTATGTATAGCGGGGATTGCGTTGCGTGTGTGATCAAAACTCAATTTATATCCTCGTAATCACGCGTATATATTAGATAAATACGGTATTACTCCGTAATGCTTTCGACGAAACAATCTCGAGCCGTAAGTAAGTAATACGGCAACGAATCGCTATTCCGTCAGATAATATCATCGGATCGCGCACTCATGAACAATCGCATCCCGCTGCGAGATATTAAGTTCGCTTCTTAGCCAAGGGGGAGGTTTACGTGTGAGATGGCGCGCGTGCAATTAATTGTCTCTCCCCGCGTGTCGGGATGATGTACCGGGCTTATCGTCGAGCGAACGCTACTTCGAAATGCACTCTCCAGCATTCGTCATTACAGGCACTCCGCCCGCGCGCACTCTCTTGCCTTTATCGTCTACAATAATCATTATCCGTTGCATTTCCATACCTTCTTTTTTCACAAAGAAGCGCATTTGATGCGCCACTGATTTTACGGCGCACCATTGTGCTCCGCGCACGATTTAATATACATCGTGCACGCCTGTGCGCAGTCAGGGGAATATTAGAGACATTTATCATTTTATATAAATATGTATAATGCGTACTTTTCGAGTTTTTTTCCCCGTAAAAATATTCAGTCATGCCGATTGCTTGCCTAGCATCCATAGAAATTTTAACGCAATTTTAATGTTTTCAACTTTTACAAGTTAATATTTAAAAATATATAAAACAGTCTATTCCTTGGAAAAATATAGAAAAACTGGTCCGGCATTCTCAGGGATTTCTTTTGTATCTGGAGAAATGAGAGGATTCTCATGGAATTTTATTGGAACTCGGGGAATATTTTAAGAAATCCATTCTTGAATAGTTTTGCTCCTATACTGTAAGCAAGTCAAGTGAATTATGTGTATAAAATATTATAAATTTAATATTATAAATATATATCTATCTCTGTTTATATATATATACAATTACAGTAAAATATTGAATATACATATTTTTTATTGCAATTTTTAGTCATTAGAACATTAACATCAGAAAATGCATACCATTAAAAAACTTATTTTAGTTGCCTCAATAAATCTTTAAAATATTCTTTTTATCTGTAATTTTGAGCAAAAATATCTGGAAGATCAGAAAATTGTTTACAAGATTTGGATAAAACACTTTGTAGAAACTCTGAAGAAGAAATCCTTTTCTCTCTCTCTCTCTCTCTAAAATATTTTATAGAAATAAGAAAGAGAGAATCTAGCAATAAGTATCTCTATAAAGTATATTTTCAAAATTTTCCGAGATCACTTCTACTCTTGCATGTAGGATGCAGAAACACGAGGGAAAACACGGATTGCACACCATCAATTTCGTGTCCGTTTCGTTGTCGCGTCGCGAATTCGCATCTTCGTCGACGAAGATCGTCTCGATTCCTCTCTCTTTCTCTCGGATGATGATGAGTCGTCATACGTGCTCGTCCCGGTGGGACGAACGCGTAATTAGCCGGTATGCGAAACGCGTTGGCGTCCTTGAATTCGCATATATTAACACTTACGTATGTATATGTCAAATCGACTTCTGGAACCAGTCGCTTGCGCACCACTTGGTTTCCGATTCCCTATATTGAGTAATGCAATATATTATCGAATTCCTTTCGTCTGCAGTCACGGGAAATTTATTTTGTTAATATTTGGCGGA